CTGCTGCAGTGGCGGCTGCTCCTGGGGTGGCTGCTCCAAGGGCGGCTGCTGCAGGGGAGCCTGCTCTAGGGGCAGCTGCTGCAGTGGCGGTTGCTCCAGGGACGGCTGTTGCAGGGGCGGTTGCTCCAGGGGCGGCTGCTACAGTGGCGGCTGCTCCAGAGGCGGCTGCTGCAGTGGCGGCTGCTCCACGGGCGGCTGCTGCAGTGGCTGCTTCTTTAGGGGCGGCTGCTGCTGATGTGGCTGCTCCCGGGGCGGCTGCTTCAGGGGCGGCTGCTCCAGGGGCGCCTACTGCAGGGGTGGCTGCTCCAAGGGCGGCTGCTGCAGTGGCGACTGCTTCTGGGGCGGCTGCTTCAGGGGCGGTTGCTGCAGGGGAGGCTGCTCCAGGGGCAGCTGCTGCAGTGGCGGCTGCTCCAGGGGCGGCTGCTGCAGTGGTTGCTGCTCCAGAGGCGGCTGCTGCTGATGTGGCTGCTCCAGGGGCGGCTGCTGCAGTGGCGGCTACTCCAGGGGCGGCTGCTGCAGAGGCGGCTGCTCCAGGGGCGGCTGCTGCAGGTGTGGCTGCTCGAGGGGCGGCTGCTGCAGTGGCGGCTGCTCCTGGGGCGGCTGCTTCAGGGGCGACTACTCTGGGGGCTGCTTCTTCAGGGGCGGCTGCTCCAGGGGGGGCTGCTGCAAGAGAGGCTGCTCCAGGGGCGGCTGCTGCAGTGTCGGCTGCTCCAGGGGCGGCTGCTGCAGTGGCGGGTGCTCCAGGGCGCGGGTTAGGGCAGGGCGCCGCGGCGGGCAGCGGTGACCCCACGCGGGTCCCGCAGGGGCGTCGCGACGCACAGGAGCCGCGCCCCGCGGGTCCTGCAAGGGCGACGCGACGAGGCGGGGGCGACGCGGCGGGGCCGCGAAGGGCGACGGGGCGGGGTCGCTACGGGCAGCGGGGCGGGGCCGCGAAGGGGCCGCGAAGGGAGCCGCGAGGGGGGCGCGAGCGGGTCGTGAAGGGGCCGTGAAGGGGCCGCGAAGGGGCCGCAAAGGGGCCGTGAAGGGGCCGTGAAGGGGCCACGAAGGTGCCACGAAGGGGCCGTGAAGGGGCCGTGAAGTGGCCGTGAAGGGGCCACGAAGGTGCCATGAAGGGGCCGTGAAGGGAGGCCGCGAAGGGGCCACGAGGGGCCTGAAGGGGCCGCGAAGGGCCGTGAGAGGGGCCGTGAGAGGCCATGAGAGGGGTCGCTACGCGACGGGCCACTAAGGGCAGGGGACGCGACGGGAGAGTAGGCACACGGGGCGCGACTCGGGCAGGGGCGAAGCGCGCTCCGGACAGGAAAAAAAAATCGATATTCTGGGCCCTAGGAAACGTTCCCACTAGGGTGTGAAAACAAAGAACGAGAATGGAATGACTATGAACGAAGTGAGTACAAATAGGAAACCCTAATTGGGTTGTACCCCCTATGGGATACCCCACTATAGCCTACAGAAACAAGTAAGCTATAAGTTCTGACACACCCCCATAGGCAAAGTGGGGGAGAACAAGGGGTCACAAGACCAGTCAAGCAAAGCAAAGCAAAGCTCAGGGTGGATCACAAAGTCACCACGCATTCCGAGCACAAGTTCAAAGGCCACAAGGCCAGTTCACATGCAAGATCATATATAGAGATATACAAGAACAAGAGTATATATATGCGAAAGTACAAGCAAGGTCAAGAGGAGAGCAAGTGAGGCAAGACAGGCACAAGACCCAACTGCGTGCAACAACGCTGATGATCACAAGGCGCAAGTGCCTTGGTGAAGACATCAGCAGTGTTGGCCTCAGAGGCCACGTACGCAAGTCGCAGCTGTCCACGCTGCTGTAGCTCACGAGCAAGAAAGTAACGAAGAGCAATGTGCTTCGTTCTGTGCTCCAGTCGCTGCTCTCGACACAAGGCCAGCATGGCCTTGTTGTCTACGTACAGGACTGGAGGAGAACGAGGCTGCTCTCCAAGGTCGGTCAGCAGGTAGGTGAGCCAGCGTAACTCCTGTGCAGCCATAGCCCCAGCGTAGATCTCAGCCTCACAACTGGAGCCGAGAACAGAAGACGAGCGGGTAGCCCGCCACGAGACAGAGCCGGAACCAAGGCTGAAGGTGTAACCCTGTGACGACCGCTGCGTAGCCTGGTCGTCAGCCCAAGAAGCGTCTGCGTGCCCAGTGAGGACCACTGGACTGCGCCCTCCAAGCACTAGCCCCATGCCTGACGTACTGCACAAGTAGCGCAACACCCTCTTCGCTGCAGCCATGTGCTCTGGTCGGTGTCTCCCAGGAGCAACAAAGCGTGCGAGAATGCTAAGAGGGTATGCGAGGTCAGGTCGTGTGCAGGTCATCAGGTACATGAGGCAGCCAACAAGCTCTGCAAACGGGCCACTCGACTCTACGGACTCATCCGAAGGCAGAGCTGAGAGCGAGTGGCGAGTAGGCAGAGGAGTGGCCTGAGGCGAGGAGTACGTGAAGCCGAAGCGCTGAAGGACCTGCTGCACCATGTGTGACTGAGTCAGGGTAATGGTGCGGCGTGCTCTGTCCCGGGTGATCTGCAAGCCAAGGTAGCTGCGCAGTTCACCCAGGTCAGTGCACGTGTGTCTCTTCTGCAGCTCGGACTTCACGTAGGCGAGTCCAGCAGTGTCAGCTGTGGCAAAGACCAAGTCGTCGACGTACACGAGGATGTAGAACGGCGGCAGAGAGGTGTCGGTGCGCAGAAACAGCGACGGGTCGGCAGTGGAAGGAGCAAACCCAAGTGCCGCGAGCGTAGTCCTCAGTGTGTCGTGCCACTCACGTGGCGCCTGGCGGAGACCGTAGACTGGACGCCGGAGACTCCACTGGGTACCAGGAGGGAAAGACCCAGTGAAGCCAGGTGGGCGACGCAGCCAGATCTCCTCGTGCAGGCTGCCCTGCAAGAAAGCTGTGCTGAAGTCGAGAGAGTGCAGCTCGTAGTCACGGTGAGCAGCAACGTGTAGCAGAACCCGAAGAGTGGTCATCTTCGGGGTGGGGGAGAAGGTCTGAAAATAGTCAACCCCCTGCCGCTGACTGAAGCCACGAGCCACGTAACGCGCCTTGAAGACAGGCGGAGAACCCGGCGGCCGCTTCACCCTGAAAATCCACATGCCACTGACGATGTTCGCCCCAGGAGGGGGAACAGCGTCAACGTAGGTGCCTGTGGACTTCCAGGAAGCCATCTCTGCATCCATAGCTGCCTGCCACTGAGAGGAGTAGGGACCCTCTATCGCCTCCGCGTAAGAGCGCGGAGTCGGGATGTCTGGTGCATCCGGGTCTCCCTCAGGGGCTAGCAGTACAGACGCGAGACGAGGTGAAGCGGCGGCCAGACACTGGAACTCCTCCTGCCTGTCCTCAAGGACGTCCGTGCCAAGGGCACACTCACCCCCGACGGACGGAGGACAGGCGGACTCAGACTCAGTGACAAGACGAGCAGCGTAGTCTAGACGACAGCGCGCAGCAAAGTCGACAAGCTCAGTGACAAGGGCAGACGCAGCAGACGACTCGAAGGAGGGGTCAGTGACAGCAGTAGCCAGGAGACGCGTGACAGTAGGACTGGCAGCACGAAGGGCGTCCGACTCCGGGTCGGCAAGAGCAGGAAGAGAGGAAGCAGGAGGAGAAGGCAAAGGGGCACGCAGAGGAGCAGTGGACGGACGCAGTGACATCCGGTGCGTGCCAGGGACAGGAGGAGGACGCTGACGCGACCCGCGACCACTAGCGCGCTCAGTACGAACAGGCGACACAGGACGAGACGCAGGCTCACGACGCTCAGTAAGACCTCCAGTCGGACCAGCGTAGGGAGAAGGAGCAGGCAAAGGGGAGGCAGGCTGTAGCTGTGGCTGTGACCGGACAGGCTGCGGACCCTCTAAGGGAGGAGGAGGAGGTGTAAGACCAAGAACCTGCTGCAGGAGCGGAACGAAGTACGGTCGGGGCCGCGCGGCGACGCTAGAAACAGCAGGAACAGCACCAGCAGCCCCGGCAGGAGCACCCACTCCAGTAGCACCTCCAGCAGCACCACCAGAAGCTCCAGAACCTCCAGCCGCAGCACCAGGAGCACTGTCAGTCGGGCCGCCAACGGCAGGCTCAGCACCAACACCCTCAGCAGGACCAGCTCCAGGAGAACTCTCAGACTCAGCAGCTCCAGCACCCACAGTACGAGCGCCGGCGGGGCGCGCAGCAGCAGTACCCTCTGCAGCCGAAGAACCACCAGCACCAGCAGCACGCCTCCAGCGCCCGGCAAACCACTCACGCAGCTCCTGTGGGGAGAGTGGCTCCCGGCGAGACGAAGCACCCCCAGGCACAGCACCTCCAGGCTCAGCACCCCTAGACACAGCACCCCCAGGCACGTCACCCCCAGGCTCAGCACCCCCAGGCTCAGCAACCCCAGGCTCAGCACCCCCAGGCTCAGCACCCCCAGGCACAGCACCCCCAGACTCGGCACCTCCAGACTCAGCACCCCCAGACTCGGCACCTCCAGGCTCAGCACCCCCAGACTCCGCACCCCCAGGCTCAGCTCCCGCAGCAGCACCAGAGTCACCAGTGACCTCGACAGGCTCGACCGCGTCTACCTGGGACACACCTGAAGGGGCAGGACCCTGAGGGGGGAGGGGGACTACCGGGGGGGGACCTGGTACCAAGAAGAGCGGGGGTGGGGGGAGGGACGGAGTGCGGTAGGGGAAGAGGCGGTAGTAGGGTACCGACTCATCGAACGTGACGTCCTGGGAGGACAGAACACGTCGAGAGGTGGGGTGGTAAAACTGCCACCCAGGGGCGTCGGGGGGGAACCCCAGGAAGACGCAGGGAGAAGCACGAGGGGATAGCTTGTCCGCAGACAGGTCGCGAACAAACGCCCGAGATCCCCAGACCCGGAACGCCGACGCATCGCCAACCTTCCCCGTCCACAGCAGGGCTGGGGAGGTCTCCGGTCGAGAGACCCTGGGGTGGAGGTTGATCTGGTGCGCAGCATACCTGACCGCAAACGGCCACAGAAAATGGGGAGCAGCCGCATGCATCATGGACGTACGAGCGACGTCCATGACCATGCCAATGCGGCGCTCAGCAATCCCATTCTGCTGCGGTGAGTCCGGAAGCGTGAAGGTCTGACGGATGCCTCGCGCACGACAGTAGGCACTCAGGAGGCCAGAGGAGAACTCTCCGCCTCTGTCCGAGTGCAGACGCAAAACAGGGAAGTCAGAGCCAAAGCTCCGCCGAAGCTGGAGACGAGCTGCGCGGATCCAGTCGATCAACACCGCAGTGACCTCACCCTTGCTGCGCAAGGGGAAGACTGTGGTGTAACGCGAGTAGTCGTCAACCACCAGCAGGAAGTAGCGCTCCTGACCCTGTCCACGGACGCGGGCTGGGCCCCACACATCCATGTGAAGCGTCTGCAACGGGGCCTCTGTCGGAGGAAACTGGGAGGAGTGAGGGGCAGCACGCTGGCGCCCCTCGACACAGGGGACACAGGTGGGGCCAGGGCCCGGAGGAAGGGGAGGGAGAGACCGGGGAAGACCAGACACAAGGACTCGCGAGGCCATGCCTCTGAGCCGAAGCAGAGAGGGGTGGCCAAGGCGGTGGTGCCAGAGGAGGGTCTCGTGAGACAAACGACGGCACGAGCAGGGGGCAGACTCAGGACCAGACCTGGACGCTGCAGCAAACACTTGACCAGACGAAGTGACCCTACCAGACTCAGCACCTGGAGGAGAAGCAGTGGTCAGAGTGTACAGGCTCGACCCTGGCCGACGTGTAAACGTAGCCAGGTGGCGACCTGTATCCGCCTCCGTGCAGTGGGTCACCCGCTGACGAGCAGGGGTGAACTGGTGGACACCTGCATCCTGGAGGTCAGCACCACTCACCAAGTTCGTCGAGAACGAGGGGAGGTAGAGACCAGTCAGGGTGCCAGAGGGGGCCGCCGGACACGGGAGGACAGTGGAGAAGCGAGACAGGACAGGCCCCCCAGAGGGGTCAGCCAGGGACACCGCAACCGGCCGACTCAGCGGCGTGAGAGTGGTGCGGTCCCGAAAGAAGGAGCGAGACGCTCCAGAGTCAAGGGTGAAGGTGTGAGAGGCCGAAGCCGACACAGTACCTGAGAGGGCAGACTCACCAGCACCTGAGAGCACAGACGCACTGGCACCTAGAGCAGCAGCCTCACTAGTACCTGACGCGGCAGTACCAATGCCCGGGTCGGGCGGGAAACACCGGTAACAGTCATCCTCATCACTACCAATCGCAGCATACATAGCAGAGAGAATAGCATCAAAATCAAGATCATAAATAGCTACACCAGCCCTAGACAGCTCTCCCCAGCGGGGGATCTCAGCTGCCTCCGGAAACTGCTGACGCCAGGCGTCAGTCAGGCGGCCAAAGCAGCGGCGGGCAGTGTGGGCGCCTCCACACCTCTCCCCTGCACGGTCACCGGTGCGGAGAACGTAGGGGCAAGGACCAAGCGCACCACCACGCTGACGCTGCGAGTACCACTCACGGAGCTGCTGAGGGGCGGGGACGGTGCGAGAGCGCTGCTGCTGCTGTGGCTGCTGCTGCGGCTGCTGCTGCTGCTGCTGCTGGCGCTGACCACCCCCGGAGCTGCTCCGCTGGGACGAGCCACTCCGACCCCCGCCTCCACTGCCACCCCCGCCTCCACCGCCACCCCCGTCTCCACCTCCACCTCCCCCACCAGGACCGTCGCTCCCACCGCTCCCACCGCCTCCTCCGCTACCACCTCCGCCGCCACCTCCGCCTCCACCGCCGCCACCAGTACCTCCACTCCCGCCACCACCCCCACCGCCACCCCCACTCCCCCCGCCACCCCCACCGCCTCCTCCACCGCCCCCTCTAGCTCCACCCGCTCCCTTGCCCCCCTTGCCCTTGCCAGCGCGGCGTCTGCCGCTGGGGGCAGACGCCGCGCCGACCGACTCAAAACCAGTGAGGTCGGCCGCAGCGGCAGAGGCGACAGAGGGCAGCAGGGGGGAAGGACCACACCCCTCAAAGATAGGGGTGCGAGGGTCACCCCGAGAGGCCCCTACAGCGACAATACTCTTCTCAGCCGCTAGCAGGGACTCCTCAAGGAGGTCGACAGTGAGAGTGGTGGGACAGACAGAGAGAAACTGGTCCCTAACGACACGAAGGGACTCAGGGAGACGGGTGACGAGAAAGTAGAGAGTGATGTACATGGGAGGAGGGTTCGCAGCGCGGAACTCAGCAGGAAGGGCAGCGCGGTAGCGGGTGTCACTAGCACGGAGGTGGGTAACGAGGTCAGCGACAGTGGGAAAGGAAGCGAGGTCAGGGAAGAGAAACGGTAGCATGAGGCGGCTAAGGGTAGCGGAGGAAGGGGAGGAGTAGCGTGCAACTACAGCGTCGTACAAGGCCTGAGCGGTCTTGCACTGACTAAAGTGGGCACGCTCAGAGGAAGGGAGGTGGCGACGCACAGCAAGACGTGCAGCAGCATCGCGGGTCGCCCACTTGGAGCGAACGGCAGAGTCAGCATCAGCAGGTGGGGCAGGGACAGCGCCAGAGACAAAGTCAAAGAGAGAGACCTCATCTATCGCATCACACAGTAAGTACAGCTGCAGGTCTTCAATCCAGACGGCAAAGTCAATGGCCCTCCCCTCAGCGTCAAAGGTAAGAACATTGGGGGTGGCCATGACAGCAGCTGAAAATCTCACCGGGCTGGGAGAGGCGGGTAGGTCAGCAGCAGAGGAACAGCAGCACGGCTCCGCAGGCGGCTCGGGCGGCGCGGGCGGCTCGGCGGCGGCTCGGGCGGCGGCTCGGCGGCGGTTCGGCGGCGGCTCGGCGGCGGCTCGGCGGCGGCTCAGGCGGCGGCGGCTCGGCGGCGGCTCGGCTGCTGCTGGGCGGCGCGGGCGGCTCGGGCGTCACGGGCGGCTCGGCGGCGGCTCTGGCGGCTCGGCGGCGGCTCGGGCGGCGGCTCGGCGGCGGCTCGGCGGCGGCTCGGCGGCGGCTCGGCGACGGCTCGGCGGCGGCTCGGCGGCGGCTCAGGCGGCGGCGGCTGCTGCTGGGCGGATCGGCGGGGCCGCGTAGCAGAGTGGCGGCGGGGCCGCGACCGAAGAGAGCGGCGGGGCCGCGTAGCAGAGGGCGGCGGGGCCGCGTAGCAGAGGGCGGCGGGGCCGCGACCGAAGAGAGCGGCGGGGCCGCGTAGCAGGGGGCGGCGGGGCCGCGTAGCAGAGGGCGGCGAGGCCGCGTAGCAGAGGGCGGCGGGGCCGCGATCGAAGGGCGGCGGGGCCGCGTAGCAGAGGGCGGCGGGGCCGCGTAGTAGAGGGCGGCGGGGCCGCGTGGCAAAGGGCGGCGGGGCCGCGATCGAAGGGCGGCGGGGCCGCGTAGTAGAGGGCGGCGGGGCCGCGATCGAAGGGCGGCGGGGCCGCTAGGGAAGGGTGGCGGAGCCGCGAGGGGAAGGGCGGCGCAACGGTCCGCTAGGGGCGACACGACGGGTCGCTAAAAAAAAAAACGCGCCTCGGGGCGCGGTTCGGTGGGCCCTAGAAGCAGTCCCTAGGAGGGAACCTGCTCTGATTCCATGTGAAAACAAAGAACGAGAATGGAATGACTATGAACGAAGTGAGTACAAATAGGAAACCCTAATTGGGTTGTACCCCCTATGGGATACCCCACTATAGCCTACAGAAACAAGTAAGCTATAAGTTCTGACATAGGGAACCTGCTCGATACCATGTGAAAGAACGAGGGATGAATGAACTAGAAAGCAGGTGTGTACAAGTAGGAGAACCTAAAAGAGTTATACCCCATATTGTCTACCCCACTACAGCCTACACAGACTGTAGCATATGAGTTTGACATGTCGTCCAGATGGCCCAACGACCATGAGAACGCTCTGGCCGACAGCAGCCTTGTAGAGATGGCCTCCTGCCTGAGGATGTCGGGCAATTTCTACATCAACGGTGAAGCAAATGGCGGTCCAAAATTGTGAGTCGACGGCTCGACGATGGTAGCCCAAGCGACAAGGCGACATCGAAGTCGGAAACTCACATCACGGATGGGGGTGACAAGACGTGCGGAGATGATTTCGACAGAAGCAGCCTTAGCCTTCCACTCCCTTTACGGATGGGTTACTAGGCCCCTCGTCACTCGCGTGCCAGTTCGCCACCACGAGGATGTAACGTGGGGTTCTGTAGCAATTCGGGGTGGGGGGTTGGGGCGGGGGTCGTGGGGGCATTCCCGCCCCTTGCAAGTCTGGCGGGGGGTTCACGCAAGGGAGTTGGCCGCCCTGACGCTCGGTCGACCATCACCCCCTTGCGTCGGCCCAGTAGATTCATAGCCAACCGGGTTGCTAGAAAAAGATCCAGTCGTTCTTTACCCATGCGAGGTGTTGCGAAAAAATATAACTTGTCGCTTATTCGAACGAGGGTGTTGCTCGAATAGTGAGGTGACACGCCCTAAGGCTACGCTAGCTCTCCAGGAATACGCATCTCAAAAAGGCATGGCTGGTTGTGTGAGAACCGAGGAATGAAATGAACTAGCACAAAGTTGGGTACAAGTAGGAAACCCTAGGAAACTGTACCCCATAGTGTCTACCCCACTATAGCCTACACAAGCTATATAATATGAATTTGACACATCCCCATAGGCAAAGTGGGGGAGAACAAGAGGTCACAAGACCAGTCAAGCAAAGCAAAGCAAGCTCAAGGTGGATCACAAAGTCACCACACAATCCGAGCACAAGAGCAAGGCCAAAAGGCCAGTTCACATGCAAGATCATATATAAAGGCAAACAAGCAAGTGCAGGTATAGAAAGATCACAGTACAAGCAAGGTCAAGAAGTGAGCAAAAGAGGCCAAGTAGGCACAAGACCTAACATCGTACAGAAGCGCTGATGATCACAAGGAGGAAGTGCCTTGGTAAAGATATCAGCAGTGTTGGCCTCAGAGGCCATGTAAGCAAGGCGCAGCTGACCATGCTGCTGCAGCTCACGAGCAAGGAAGTAGCGAAGAGCAATGTGCTTCGTTCTGTGCTCCAGTCTGTGCTCCCGACACAAGGCTAGCATGGCCTTGTTGTCTACGTACAGAACTGGAGGAGAACGAGGCTGCTCTCCTAGGTCAGTCAGCAGGTAGGTGAGCCAGCGTAGCTCCTGTGTAGCCATGGCCCCCGCGTAGATCTCAGCCTCACAGCTGCAGCCGAGAACACAAGACGAGCGGGTAGACCGCCACGAAACAGAGCCGGAGCCAAGGCTGAAGGTGTAACCCTGTGACGACCGCTGCGTAGCCTGGTCGTCAGCCCAAGAAGCGTCTGCGTGACCTGTGAGGACCACTCGACGTCGCCCTCCAAGCACTAGCCCCATGCCCGACGTACTGCACAAGTAGCGCAACACCCTCTTCGTTGCAGCCATGTGCTCTGGTCGGTGTCTCCCAGGAGCAACATAGCGTGCGAAGATGCTAAGAGGGTATGCTAGGTGAGGTCGAGTGCAGGTCATCAGGTACATGAGGCAGCCAACAAGCTCTGGGTACATGCCACTCAGCTCTACGGACTCATCCGAAGGCAGAGCTGAGAGCGAGTGGCGAGTAGACAGAGGAGTGGCATGAGGCGAGGAGTACGTGAAGTCGAAGCGCTCAAGGACCTGCTGCACCATGTGTGACTGAGTCAGGGTAAAGGTGCACTGTGCTCTGTCCTGGGTGATCTGCAAGCCAAGGTAGCTGCGCAGTTCACCTAGGTCTGTGCACGTGTGTCTCTTCTACAGCTCGGACTTCACGTGGGCTAGTCCAGCAGTGTCAGCAGTGGCAAAGACCAAGTCGTCGACGTACACGAGGATGTAGAACGGCGGCAAGGAGGTGTCAGTGCGCAGAAACAGCGACGGGTCGGCAGTAGAAGGAGCAAACCCAAGAGCCGCAAGTGTAGTCCTCAGTGTGTCGTGCCACTCACGGGGCGCCTGGCGGAGACCGTAGACTGGCCGCCGGAGGCTCCACTGGGTACCAGGAGGAAACGACCCAGTGAAGCCAGGCAGGCGGCGCAGCCAGATCTCCTCGTGCAGGCTGCCCTGCAGGAAAGCCGTGCTGAAGTCAAGAGAGTGAAGCTCGTAGTCGCGCTGAGCGGCTATGTGCAGCAGCACCCGAAGAGTGGTCATCTTTGGGGTGGGAGAGAAGGTCTGAAAGTAGTCGACTCTCTGCCGCTGACTGAAGCCTCGAGCCACGTAACGCGCCTTGAAGACAGGCGGAGAACCCGGCGGCCGCTTCACCCTGAAAATCCACATGCCACTGACGATGTTCGCCCCAGGTGGGGGAACCTCGTCAACGTAGGTGCCTGTGGACTTCCAGGAAGCCATCTCTGCGTCCATGGCCGACTGCCACTGAAAGGAGTAGGGACCCTCGATCGCCTCAGCGTACGATCGAGGAGTCGGGATGTCAGGTGCATCCGGGTCTCCCTCAGGGGCAATCTGCGTGGCCACGAGATGGGGCAAAGCAGCAGCAAAGCACTGGAACTCCTCTTGCCTGTCCTCAAGGACGTCCATGCTAAGAGCACACTCACCCCCGACGGACGAAGGACTGACAGACTCAGACCCAGCAACTAGACTAGCAGCGTAGTCTAGACGACAGCGAGCAGCGAAGTTGAAAAGCTCAGCAACTAGGGCAGACGCAGCAGTGGACTCAAAGGAAGGGTCGGTGACAATAGTAGCCAGGAGACGCGTAACAGAAGGACTGGCAGTACAAAGAGAGTCAGACTCCGGGTCAGCTTGTCGAGGTAGCTATTGACTCTGGTGCTGCTAGAGGTGCTGAGCCTGCGGGTGCCGGGTCTGAAGTGGCGACGCACAGCAAGACGGGCAGCAGCATCGCGTGTCGCCCACTGTGAGCGAACAGTGCTGTCACCAGTAGCAGGCGGGGCAGGGGAGGCACCAGAGGTGAGGTCGAACAGAGAGAGGCCGTCTGTCCTATCGCACTAGAGGAACAGCTGGAGGTCATCGACCGTGACCTCAAAGTCAACAGCACGGTAACTAGGGCCGAGGCGCGTCGGTAGGACTGGTAGCGGCTCAGCGGCTTGGCTGCTGGGCGGCTGGGTGGTCGGGCGGCTCGGCGACTCACCTGTCGGGCGGCTCGGCGGCTAGGCAGCTCGGCTGCTGGGCGGCTCGGCTGCTGGGCGGCTCGGCGGTCGGGCGGCTCGGCGGCTCGGCTGTCGGGCGGCTCGGCTGCTGGGCGGCTCGGCGGCTCTGCTGCTGGGCGGCTCGGCGGCTCCGCTGCTGGGCGGCTCAGTAGAGGTGGCGTCGAGGCCGCGTAGGAGGCGGCGTCGGGGCCGCTTAGGAGAGGTAGCGGGGCCGCGGAGGGGCGGCGACGAGGCCGCACGAGGGGGGCGACGGGGGCCGCTAGAGAGCGGGGACGAGGTCACAAGAGGGCGGCGACGGGGGCCGCCTGAGGGCGGCGACGTGGCCGCGAGAGGGCGGCGACGAGGCCGCGAGGGGCGGCTGCAAGGCCGCTACGAGCGGCGACGGGGCCGCGAACGGCGGTGACGGGGCCGCGAGAGGGAGGCGACGGGGCCGTGATAGGGCGGCGACGGGGCCTCGAGAGGGCGGCGATGGGGCCGCAAGAGGGCGGCGACGGGGCCGCGATAGGGCGGCGACGGGGCCGCAAGAGGGCGGCAACGGGGCCGCGATAGGGTGGCGACGGGGCCGCGATAGGGCGGCGACGGGGCCGTGGAGGAGGGGCCGCTGAGGGCGGCGCGACGGGCCGCTAGGAGAGCGGCGACGGGGTCGCGAGGGGCCGTGAGAGAGGGGGAGGGCCGCTGAGGGTGGCGCGACGGGTCGCTAAGGGGAGGGCGGCACATTGGGCGCGACTCGGTCAGGAGGGACTCGATCTCATGGCATGAAAAAAAAAGTCTAAGTTCAGTGGTGGGCCCTAGGAAGTTCCCACGAGGGAACCAGCTCTATACCATGTGAGAATCGAGGAATGAAATGAACTAGCACAAAGTTGGGTACAAGTAGGAAACCCTAGGAAACTGTACCCCATAGTGTCTACCCCACTATAGCCTACACAAGCTATATAATATGAGTTTGACAGGTTGGGCATGAAAAAATTAGGGTTCCAAAAGGTTACCTATGTAGGACTTACCGTTCAGTTAGAAGGAATTAGGCTTGGCAGTAGCGCTTGCGGGAATGTTGCCCTAGTGTTGCCTGTTCGGTTTGGGCGTGCAGAGTTGTTGCGCCCGTGATTGGCTATTGCTTCGTAGTTACTGCTGGTTATGAGCAAACTACCGAACCGGGCCGGTTCGATAGCTGTAACACGATTACCAAACCAATCATCTGGAAAACCAGTTTGGTTGGAATCGAACCGGCCAGGTTTGGTACCGGGTTCCTGGTTGATATAAGCCTACAACCAGGCCAGTTCGGTTTGGTACAGGGTGGTTCGATTATACCAGAGCCAGTTTGGTTCAAATGCGTGAACGTTTCTAGAATAATTATGATTAAAGCTATTTATATGCCTACAACTAGGTGTCAAAAGTAAATACAACACAAAAGTCTAACCTGAAGCTTAGCCAAAAAAATCGAAGGTTTTCAATAATCAGGAACCTGAACCTTAGCGAACAATTTCAAAGGTTTTCAAGGATCAACAATTCATGGTTACAATATTCAAATACAAATTTACCTGAAATATTGTTTCGGATGCATGCTTCATAACATAGTTAGGTTCCAATGTTTTTACACATGCGTATGTAGAGGGAGAAAAATAAAGGACCTAGCGAAAACAATGCCCGCACAACAATATGACTGTTATCATTAAAATATGGAAGAGGGCAGCGGGCGCAGAGAGTGGAGAGGGGGCAAAGAATGGAGAGGAGGGAGAGAGGGGAAAGGATGGACGATTGCGTGTGCTCATGTTGCAGCATTCCCCTGCTACCCGCTGCCATTCCACCTGTAACCTTTGACAAATAGAGTCCACACCGACGATATGCGCCCCCAGCTCCTCTACTTGCTCCTCTACTTTCTCCTTTCCAATCACATATACTATACCCCCTCCACTTTCTACACTTCCTTGATTCATCTCATCCTCCGGCACCTTCATTTCTTACACTCTGGCCCACTGCTCTCTAAGAATCACCCACCTGTCTCTGTGCACCAGTCCCTTTTATTGATCACCCAGCGCTAGGGTTCTTCCTATCTACACTCATTCATCCTCTCTTACTTGCTATCCCCTCTCTCTCTTTCTCATACAGTTGTTTGTGCAACAGACAAACTTGCTCAACACCATGGACCACCGGAAGTTCATTACCGAGAGGCTGCATCATTTAGAGAAATTCATCAATAACGTTGAAGAAAGCGTTGGAAATGTCTAGCTGATGGACTTGTAGGTCGAAAGCAGTAGCAATGGTGAGGAAAAGGCGGAGGGTGGCGAAGCAGACAGTAGGAGCAAATGTCTCATGTGGTTTGAGGTTCGTAATGATGATGAAAGGCGGCAATGCCAGAGTTCTTGGAAAGAGGAGGAAAGAGAGGGTACGTTTTTGAGAAGTGAGAAAAGTGATTGATCGCGAGGAGTTGAAGTTAATGGTGGTGAGGAACAAGGCGTGCAATGGGGAGGCCCAGGTGAAGAGGGAGGGGAGAGAGATGGAAGGTGACTGTTTTGCGATAAGGAGTGTTTGAAATAATGGAGGAGGATAAGATGTGGCTTTTGCGGGCAGATTTGGGGATGGTGGGTGGTGGGTGGTGGAGGAGGGTATGATGTGTGAAGGAGAGGGAGTGGAGGGCGGGGCCAAGGAGGGAGGGTATGGAGAGGGAGGTATAGAGGAAGGGTGGAGATCACGATGGAGGGTCTTGAGGGTCGTACCTGCAGCCGGCGCGCCCCCCTGCAGCCGGCCCGCCCCCCTGCAGTCGGCGTGCCCCCCTGCAGCCGGCGTTCCCCCCTGCAGCCGAGCGCGCCCCGCTGCAGCCGGCGCGCCCCGCTGCACAGGAACGCTGCCGGCGCGCCCCGCTGCAGCCGAGCGCGCCCTGCTGCCGCTGGCGCGCCCCGCTGCAGCCGGCGCGCCCCCCTGCAGCCGGCGCGCCCTGGGACCATCGCACCTTGGTGTGTCCCCCCAGCACAATCTCAACTGCACTCCAAACTCGTCCTCCTCCTCCTCTTATTCCTCCTCATCATACTCCTCACTCTCATTGCTCCTCTGTCCGCCATCCACCCGGTCCTGCCACCCTGCCGCTTTGCCCTTCTTCCGCCCACCGTGTTGCCCTCTGCCGCGATCAGCAGGGGCAGGCGGGCCAATCAGCCCGCCAGCACGGTCCTCCAGGGAGGCCGGGGGGTGCGGAAGGCTGATCACTGCATGCCCCTTGCCCTCATCCTCGCCGCGCACCATCGCCACTCTCCGCCCATCCGTTGCTCCTCCATCCCTCACCGTGCTTGCCCCACCCCCCTCCCCATTCACCCTTCCCACCTCCTTGTTTGCCCCACCGCCAGCGCCAGCACCAGCGCCACTGGGCGCACCACCGCCTGCCTCCCTCAAGTTGTCCCCCGCCGCTTCCTCTCTGCCCACACGCTCCGGTCCTTCGCCTGCCCCTCCCCCCTCCGCCACGCGCCCAGCGCCCACCAAGCCTACAGCCACTGCTCCTACCTCTAAAGCTGTCGCTAGCCCTGCCTTGGCCCCGTCGCCTAACCTCTTCGCCAGGCTCGGCCCGTCGCTGAACTTCACCCTCCCAGCCTTCTTCTTCCCCTTCCCTCCGGCGTGTTTCACGTGCGCGCGCGCCGTTTGCGCGTGTACGGCCTAGAGCAGCGTAACGCGCTCCTCCTGGCAGCCGAACGACGCGAAGAAGGCGTCGCGCACCCCTAGCAGCGTGTCACCCTCGTCGTCCGCCAACGCGGCGGAGGGAGGGGGCGGAAGGGCGGGCTGTCGGGGTCGCGACGGCTGTCTGCTTCACAGCTGACATCATCCATCAAATGATTATGGAAGGGAATGTGAGAGATTTGTCATTAATGTCACATAATGACTTCAGCATGTGAGATCCGCTAGAGGAAGAGAATATTGGGTGTCTCTGAAATGGATTACCACGCGAATTAGCTTACTTGAACAACACAAACGAGGAAGAGAGGAATGAGGCGTCCTCAAAGATGTAGAGACTCGGCCAGGGGGTTCCTGACTGGTTTGAGGGTTGCTACGCACGGCGGATAATGTTCGCATACAAGTGACACCACCTGAGAAGCTTCCGTCAAGAATCGCTCTTCTCTTAGCCAACAGCCTGATCTGTGTACTTTGAGAAAGTCACAAATGTCAGAAATAAATCTTCTTCGCTTGCGGTCGTCGCTGGTTGAATGCTTGGTCTTCGCTTGCACACTACCTCAAACATCTCGTCCTCTGTTCCAACAGCAAAAGAAGGCAATATTGTTCGAACTTCGGCTTACCCTGCAAATGTGCTATGGCGCACGGAACAGACACTGACCCGAGGAAACGCCCACGGAATGGCCTGGTTGAACACTTGAGGCTCTGTCAACAAGCGTGCTTTCCGCATTACCCGCTACGCAACCGTCGTCCACAGACGAATCCATTTTTCTTGTTATTCCTCAGCTTTCAGGCGCTTGCGCTGGGGTGTGTAGCACCTAAAAAGTTTTCCCTTCCGCCCTTACCTTTCCATTAGCTAGGCCAATCGTTTCAGCTATAGCGTCCTCAAATAGACAGACATGATCTTTCGCCGGGCGAATTGTTGCACCACCGGTGCTACATCAGCAAGCGCTTAGGTCCGTTGTCAGTAGTGCAGCCGCACACGCGTGTAACGAGCCGGAGGCCGAGAGGAGGCGGAGTGAAGTGGTGGCGAGGAGGAAGAGACGATGGGGCAAAGCTGGAAGCACTCCGCATCCTGATTTCGCCCAGCGGGCGGCATCGCTGTGATCGCCGTCGTCCTCGTCATTGCCCTTTAGCAGTGTGGTGCGCAGCATGGCGACGGGGGCGCCTTCCGAGTTCAACCTGTTCATCATCCACAAGTCGGGCGGGCTCATCTACTACAAGGCACGCCGCCACCTGCTGCTAGTATGTCACAGGATCGAATTCTGAATCGAAACTTGTCACTAAAACTGAATACAAGGCGTTTTTATACTCGGAAAATACAAGGATAAACGAGATAAAACGAACCTTCGGGAACACACCCTTCCCGATACTACAATCACAAGTGCGCACAAGCACGCAAGGCTATTGGCACTTGGGATTACGCCCAGATTACACCGTATACATCGCTGTCGGCGCTGTCGGTGCCGTATAATAGATATGTCGGTGGGAAAAGTAGGAAATAAGAGAAATGAATAGAAGGCTCTAGAAAATAGAATAGTAGGCCGATTGAGATGAAATAAAGACCAAAATAAAGAGGAGAAAAAGGAGAATAAGATAAAGGAAAAATATAATAACAACAAATATTATAACAGGGACGTCCTCTCACACTTCCCCCCCTCAAAGCTAGGTGGTAGAAGTAACACCCTACTTTACAAGGTAGTCCTGGAGAGGACGACGGGCGTTATCCATTTCGTCTTCAGGTACTCAGCTATCCTCGGAAGGATCATAGCCTTTCCAACGAATCAAGAGCTCCAAGGTGCCGTTACGTCGTCGTTGGTGCGCTAGAACGACTTCGACTTCGTACTCAGGTTCCCCATTAACGATCACTGGCAGTGGCGGCGGCGGCTGGCGACCTTTGAAGACCGTGTTCGGGTCCCGATAGGGCTTGAGAAGTTGAACATGGAAGGCGTTGTGAATTCTCTAGATAGCTGGTAAACGCAAGCGAAAGGTTACTGGAGTGACCTGCGCCTCGACGAGAAAAGGTCCGCAGAAGCGAGGTTGGAGCTTAGATGGAAGATGGCTGATGTCGAGATTGCGTGTATCCAGAAGCACTTGATCGCCAATTTTGATGGAATGATCATTGCGACTCTGATCAGCGAGCTTCTTTTGTTGCTGCTGGATAGTCAGGACACGTTTATGCGTGCGCTCCCACAATTGGTGCATAGTGGTAATGAAGTCATGTGCGGGTTGCACCGTGGCAGGTACTGTCGGTTGTTGAGGCATGAGTGGGTTGCGACCGTAACCGAGGAAGAAAGGAATTTGCCCTGTTGCGGCGTGCGTGGCGTTGTTACACGCAAACTTGAGAACTGGCAGGTGCGCATCCCATTAGAGATATCGTCCTTACACGCTGCTCGAAGAAGCTGTTCGACAATCTAGTTGAGGCGCTCGGACTTCATGTGGGCGAGTCCAGCAGTGTCAGCAGTGGTAAAGACCAGGTCGTCGACGTACACGAGGATGTAGAACGGCGCCAAAGAGGTGTCGGTGCGTAGAAACAGCGACGGGTCGGCTGTAGAAGGAGCAAACCCAAGAGCCGCAAGTGTAGTCCTCAGTGTGTCGTGCCACTCACGGGGCGCCTGGCGGAGACCGTAGACTGGCCGCCGGAGGCTCCACTGGGTGCCAAGAGGAAACGACCCAGTGAAGCCAGGAGGGCACAGCCAGATCTCCTCGTGCAGGCTGCCCGGCAGGAAAGCAGTGCTGAAGTCAAGAGAGTGAAGCTCGTAGTCGCGCTGAGCGGCTATGTGCAGTAGCACCCGAAGAGTGGTCATCTTCGGGGTGGGAGAGAAGGTCTGAAAGTAGTCAATTCCCTGCCGCTTACTGAAGCCTCGAGCCACGTAACGCGCCTTGAAGACAGGCGGAGAGCCCGGCGGCCGCTTCACCCTGAAGATCCACATGCCACTGACGATGTTCGCCCCAGGTGGGGGAACCTCGTCGACGTAGGTGCCTGTGGACTTCCAGGAAGCCATCTCTGCATCCATGGCCGACTGCCATTGAGACGAGTAGGGACCCTCCATCGCCTCAGTGTACATTCGAGGAGTCGGGATGTCTAGTGCATCCAGGTCTCCCTCAGAGGCAATCAGCGTGGACACGAGATGGGGCAAAGTAGCCGCAAAGCACTGGAACTCCTCCTGCCTGTCCTCAAGGACGTCCGTGCTAAGAGCACACTCACCCCCAACGGACGGAGGTCAGACAGACTCAGACTCAGCAACAAGACTGGCAGCATAGTCTAGACGACACCGAGCAGCGAAGTCGACAAGCTCAGCAACGAGAGCAGACGCAGCAGCAGACTCAAAGGAAGGGTCAGTGACGACAGTAGCAAGAAGGCGCGTGACCGAAGGACTAGCAGCACGAAGGGAGTCAGACTCCGGGTCAGCAAGAGAAGGAAGAGAGGACTCTAGAGGAGACGGCAACGGGACACGCAGAGGAGCAATGGAAGGACGCAGTGCCATCTGGTGTGTGCCGGGGACCGCAGGAGGACGCGGACGCGCAGTACGACCACTAGTGCGAGCAGCACGAACAGGTGACGCGGGACGAGACGCAGGCTCACGACGCTCAGCAAGACCTCCAGTAGGACCAGTGTAGGGAGAAGGAGCAGGTAGAGGGGAGGCGGGCCGTAACTGTGACTGCGACTGGACAGGCGGTGGACACTCTAGGGGAGGAGCAGGACCAGTAGAGGGCGGGAGACCAAGAACCTGCTCCAGGAGCGGAACGAAGTACGGCCTTGGCCGCGCAGCGCCTCTAGAACCAGCAAGTACGGCACCAGTACCCCCAGCGGCAGCACCAGCGCCAGCAGAACCTCTAGCTCCAACAGCGCCAACTCCAATACGCTCAGAAGCACCAGCGCCAGTTGCGCCGCCAGCGCCAACACCCCCAGCAGCTCTAGCTCCAGCAGCACCAACTCCAGTAGGACCGTCAGCACCAGCTGCCTCAGCAGCACCCCCAGACGCACCAGCACCAGTAGAAACACCAGCGCCAACACCCCCAGCAGCTCAAGCTTCAGCAGCACCAACTCCAGTAGGACCGTCAGCACCAGCTGCCTCAGCAGTCTCACCAGCACCTAGCGCAGCAGCCTCAATGCCCGGGTCAGGCGGTACACATAGGTAACAGGCACCCTCAACACTATTAGCAACAGCATACATGGCAGCAAGAATAGCATCAAAGTCAAGATCAAAGATAGCCACCCCGGCCTTAGCCAGATCTCCCCAGCGAGGGATCTCTAACGCCTCAGGGAACTAGCGACGCCACGCGTCCGCCAGGCGACCAAAGCAGCGCTGGGTGGAGTGCGGACCCCCGCAGTGCTCACCAGTGCGGTCGCCGGTACGGAGAACGTAAGAGCAAGGACCAAAACCCCCACCGCGCTGGCGTGCAGTGTACCACTCACGAAGCTGCTGAAGGGACAGGGTCACACCACTCCGCTGCTGCTGCTGGCGCTGACCACCACCGGCGCCACTCCTCCACGCAGAGTCGCGACTCGCTCCAACATCGCCGCCTTTGCCGCCGCCGCCGCCGCCTCCGCCGCCTCCGCCGCCTCCTCCACCTCCGCCTCCTCCACTACCTCCGCCGCCTCCGCTACCTCCGCCGCCTCCGCTCCCTCCGCCACCTCCACCGCCTCCGCCGCCTCCACTGCTGCCGCCGCCGCCGCCACCCCCAGCACCACTCCCATCACCACCCCCACTCCCTCTACCGCCTCCACCACCACCTCCACCGCCCCTTCCACCTCGTCCAGTGCCCTTGCCCCCCTTGCCCTTGCCGGTGCGGCGTCTCCCGCTCGGGGCAGACGCAGCGCCGACCGACTCGAAACCAACGAGGTCGGCCGCAGCAGTAGAGGCAGCAGAGGGCAAGAGGGGGGAGGGAGAACACCCCTCAAAGACAGGGGTGCGAGGGTCACCACGAGAGGCTCCTACATTCTCTATCGCTAGGAGGGCCTTCTCGAGGAGGTCAACGGTGAGAGTGGTGGGGCAAACAGATAGGAAGTGGTCCCTGACTACACGGAGAGAGTCAGGGAGACGGGTGACTATATAGTAGAGGGTGATGTACATGGGGGGGGGGGTTCTTGGCGCAGAACTCAGCAGGAAGCGCAGCGCGGTACGAGTGTCACTAGTGCGGAGGTGCGTCATGAGGTCAGCAACAGTGGGAAAGGCAGTAAGGTCAGGGAAGAGGTACAGTAGCATGAGGCGGCTCAGTGCAGCAGTGGCAAGGGAAGAGTAGCGTGCAACTACAGCGTCGTACAAGGTCTGAGCACTCTTGTACTGCTAAAGTGTGCACGCTCAGTGGTCGGTAAGTGGCGGCACACAGCAAGGCGAGCAGCAGCATCACGTGTGGCCCACTATGAGCGAACAGTGGCGTCAGCATCAGCAGCAGGGGCAGGGGAGGCACCAGAAGTGAGGTCAAATAGGGAGAGGCCGTCTGCCCTATCGCACTATAGGAAAAGCTGCAGATCATCTACCCAGACCTCAAAGTCCACTGCCCGACCCTCAGCGTCAAAGGTGAGAACGCTAGGCGATCGGGCTGCTCGGCAGCTCGGCTGTCGGGCGACTCGGCTGCAGGGCGGCTCGGCTGCTGGGCGGCTCGGCTGCTGGGCGGCTCGGCTGCTGGTGCGGGGCGGCTCGGCTGTCGGGCGGCTCGGCTGCTGGGCGGCTCGGCTGCTTGGCGGCTCGGCTGTCGGGCGGCTCGGCTGCTGGGCGGCTCGGGAGGTCGGGCGGCTCAGGTGGCCGGCGGTTCGGCTGCTCGGCGTTGCGGGCGCTGGGAGGCGGGGTCGCAGGTGGCCGCGGGCCGCAAGGGTGGGCGGGGCCGTAGCGGGGCCGACGGGGCCTAAGCGGGGCCGTTGAGGGGCCGACGGGGCCTAAGCGGGGCCGTAGCGGGGCCGACGAGGCCGTAGCGGGGCCGTAGCGGGGCCATAGCGGGGCCGACGGGGCCGTAGCGGGGCCTAAGCGGGGCCGACGGGGCCAACGGGGCCGTAGCGGGGCCGTAGCGGGGCCGTAGCGGGGCCGCAGCAGGGCCTAAGCGGGGCCGACGGGGCCTAAGCGGGGCCGTAGCGGGGCCGTAGCGGGGCCTAAGCGGGGCCGTAGCGGGGCCGACGGGGCCTAAGCGGGGCCGTAGCGGGGCCTAAGCGAGGCCGTAGAGGGCGACTCGAGGGGCAGTAAGGGCGGCCAAAAGGGGCCACTAAGGCGGCTCGAGGCGCTACTCGGGTTAGGAGCTAGGCGCGCTCCGGGCAGGGAAGGAAAAAAAAAAGTTCGTGGTGGGCCCTAGGCGGTATTCCCACTCGGGAACCTGCTCGATACCATGACGAGAAGTGAGAATGGAATGAATGAACTATGGAACAGTTGGGTACAAGTACTAACCCTAATTGGGTTGTACCCCTTATGGGCTACCCCACTACAACCTACACAAATGTATAAGCTATAATGTTCTGACAGTCCTCTTACACTTCCCCCCCTCAAAGCTAGGTGGTAGAAGTAACACCCTGCTTTACAAGGTAGTCCTGGAGAGGACGACGGGCATTATCCATGTCGTCTTCAGGTACTCAGCTATCCTCGGAAGGATCATAGCCTTTCCAACGAATCAAGAGCTCCAAGGTGCCGTTACGTCATCGTCGGTGCGCTAGAACGGCTTCGACTTCGTACTCAGGTTCCCCATTAACGATCACTGGCAGTGGCGGCGGCGGCTGGCGACCTTTGAAGACCGTGTTCGGGTCCCGATAGGGCTTGAGAAGTTGAACATGGAAGGCATTGTGAATTCTCTAGATAGCTGGTAAACGCAAGCGAAAGGTTACTGGAGTGACCTGCGCCTCGACGAGAAAAGGTCCGCAGAAGCGAGGTTGGAGCTTAGATGGAAGATGGCTGATGTCGAGATTGCGTGTATCCAGAAGCACTTGATCGCCAATTTTGATGGAATGATCATTGCGACTCTGATCAGCGAGCTTCTTTTGTTGCTGCTGGATAGTCAGGAGACGTTTATGCGCGCGCTCCCACAATTGGTGCATAGTGTTAATGAAGTCATGTGCGGGTTGCACCGTGGCGGGTACTGTTGGTTTCGGAGGCGTGACTGGGTTGCGACCGTAACAGAGGAAGAAAGGAGTTTGCCCTGTTGCGGCGTGCGTGGCATTGTTATACGCAAACTCGAGAACCGGCAGATGTGCATCCCATGTAGAGATATCGTCCTTACACGCTGCTCGCAGAAGCTGTTCGACAATCTGGTTGAGGCGCTCTGTCTGACCATCCGTTTGGGGATGATAGGCTGATGACATGGCGAGTTTGGTCCCCATGAGCGACATGAGCTCCTTCCAGAATTTACTCGTGAATTTCGGGTCTCTGTCGGAGATCAGCGTGGTTGGAATGCCATGTTGCGAGATGACGTAGCGGAAGAATATTTGCGTTGTCTCCTCGATGCGAGCCGTTGTGTGTGTCGGAATGAAGTGTCCCATTTTGGAGAATTTGTCGATGACGACTAGAATGGCGTCGTAACCAGCTTTGGTAGGTGGTAACCCGGTGATGAAGTCCAAGCTGACCACTTGCCAAGGCTGTTCAGGGACTGGAAGAGGCTCTAGTAACCCGGTTTTCTTCTATTTGCTGCTCTTCATCCATTGGCATGTGTCGCACGAGGTGATGAATTTTTGTACGTCATCCGCCATGTGGGGCCAATAATAATGCTTCGCAATACCGGCAAGCATCATGTTACTACCGAAGTGGCCCGCGTAGAGAACATCATGATATTCTTCGAGCAGTAACTGGCGTAAAGGAGGGTAATTAGGTACCCATATTTTTGTGGATCCCTTACGGTACGCGGTGTCTTGATCCCAATGCAGAAGATGGCGCTTTTCTGCTACGGAGACTTTGGGGTCAATGGTATATCCATGCGTGAAGAGTCCCTTCAAAAGTGGGTTCATGCCATCGACTTGTAGGGCGGCAACGTGTGCAGGGCAACTGAGTGCGCCTGCCTTGTTCTTGTGCCCTGGCTTATACACGATGTCGTAATAGAAGTGGGTTTCGAGAAAGTCAATCCACCGGACCTGCCACCTGAAGAGTGTGAAGAATGAGGAATGGAATGACTAGGCAAAATGTGGGTACAAGTAGGAAACCTAGAGATGTTGTACCCTATAGTATCTACCCCACTACAGCCTAGATAGACCATAGCATATAAGTTTGACACACCCCCATAGGCAAAGTGGGGGAGAACAAGAGGTCACAAGACCAATCAAGCAAATCACAACAAGCTCAGGGTGGATCACAACGTCACCTGACATTCCGAGCACACGTTCAAGGCCACAACGCCAGTTCACATGCAAGATTATATATAAAGGTAAACAAGCAAGTGCAGGTATAGATAGATCACAGTACAAGCAAGGTCAGGAAGTGAGCAAGCGAGGCCAAGTAGGCACAAGACCTAGCATCGTACAAAAACGATGATGATAACAAGGCTGAAGTGCCTTGGTAAAGATATCAGCAGTGTTGGCCTCAGAGGCCACGTAAGCAAGGCGCAGCTGACCACGCTCCTACCGCTCACGAGCAAGGAAGTAGCGAAGAGCAATGTGCTTTGTTTTGTGCTCCAGTCTGTGCTCCCGACACAAGGCCAGCATGGCCTTGTTGTCTACGTACAGAACTGGAGGAGAACGAGGCGGCTCTCCCAGGTCAGTCAGCAGGTAGGTGAGCCAGCGTAACTCCTGTGCAGCCATGGCCCCTGCGTAGATCTCAGCCTCACAGCTGGAGCTAAGAACAGAAGACGAGCGGTTAGCCCGCCACGAAACAGAGCCGGAACCAAGGGTGAAGGTGTAACCCTGTGATGACTGCTACGTAGCCTGGTCGTCAGCCCAAGAAGCGTCTGCGTGACCTGTGAGGACCACTAGACGTCAACCTCCAAGCACTAGCCCCATGCCTGACGTACTGCACAAGTAGTGCAACACCCTCTTTGCTGCAGCCATGTGCTCTGGTCTGCGTCTCCCAGGAGCAACATAGCGTGCCAAGATGCTAAGAGGGTATGCCAGGTCAGGTCGAGTGCAGGTCATCAAGTACATGAGGCAGCCAACAAGCTCTGGGTACGGGCCACTCGGCTCTACGGACTCATCCGAAGGCAGAGCTGAGAGCGAGTGGCAAGTAGACAGAAGAGTGGCCTGAGGCAAGGAGTACGTGAAGTCGAAGCGCTGAAGGACCTGCTGCACCATGTGTGACTGAGTCAGGGTAATGGTGCGCCGTACTCTGTCCCGGGTGATCTGCAAGCCAAGATAGCTGCGCAGTTCACCCAGGTCTGTGCACGTGTGTCTCTTCTGCACCTCCAGAACCAGCAGGGACAGCACCAGCACCCCCAGCGTCAGCACCAACGCCAGCAGCACCACCAGCTCCAGCAGCACCCCCAGTAGCTCCAGCAGCACCAACTCCAGCACCCTCAGAAGTACCAGCTCCAGCAGCACCTCCAGCGCCAAGACCTCCAGTAGCGCCAGCTCCAGCTGGACCACCGGAAGACGCAGCAGCACCACCTCCAGTAGTACCTGCAGCAGCGCCTACGCCAGCACCACCTCCAGCTCCCGCACCAGCAGCACCACCAGGCCCAGCAGCTCGAGTACCGCCGGTACGAGCACCTCTGGGACCCGTGGCTCCAAAGCCACCAGCAGAAGTAGCACCACCAGCTCTAGCACCACAACTTCAGCGGCGAGCAAACCACTCACGCAGCTCCTGGGGAGAGGGCAGCTCCCGCCGGGACGAAGCAACTGAAGGACCTCCAGGCCTAGCACCACCAGTCTCCACTCGAGCAAGCCCAGTTTCCAGGCTCCTCACCCCCAGACTGAGCAACCCCAGGCTCAACACCCCCCGACTCTGCACCCCCAGGCTCAGCACCCCCAGGCTCTGCACCCCCAGGCTCAGCACCCCCAGGCTCTGCACGCTCAGGCTCAGCACCCCCAGACCCAGCACCCGCAGACTCTGCACCCCTAGCAGCACCAGAGTCAACAGCTACCTCGACAAGCTCGACTGCGTCTACCTAGGACACACCTGAGGGGGCAGGACCCTGAGGGGGGAGAGGGTCTACCGGGGGGGGACCTGGCGCAAGGAAGAGCGGCGGGGGGGGGAGGGGGGCAGTGTGGTAGGGGAAGAGACGGTAGTACGGATCCGACTCATCAAACGTGACGTCCTGAGAGGATAGAACACGGCGCGAGGTGGGGTGGTAAAACTGCCAAGGAGGCCCGTCAGGGGGGAAGCCAACGAAGATGCAGGGAACAGCATGGGAGGGCAGCTTCTCTGCAGACAAGTCTCGGACGAAAGCCCGAGATCCCCAGACACGGAACGCAGACGCATCGCCAACCTTCCCTGTCCACCGCAGGGTGGGGGAGGTCTCCGGCAAGGAGACACGGGGCTGAAGGTTGATCAGCTGCGCCGCGTACTGAACCGCGAACAGCCACAGAAAATGGGGGAGAGCCGCATGCATCATGGACGTACGAGCGACGTCCATGACCATGCCAATGCGGCGCTCAGCAATCCCATTTTGCTGTCGAGAGGCCGGAAGCGTGAATGTCCGGCGGATGCCCCTCGCACAGCAGAAGTCTCGCAGAAGGTCGGAGGTAAACTCTCCACCTCTGTCGGAGTGCAGACGCAGAACAGGAAAGTCCGAGCCGAAACTCTCTCTGAGCTGGAGACGAGCAGCGCGGATCCAGTCGGTCAACACCCCAGTGACCTAACCCTTGGTGCGCAAGGGGAAGACTACGGTGTAACGCGAGTAGTCGTCAACCACCAAGAGGAAGTAGCGCTCGTGACCCTGTCCACGGACGCGGGCTGGGCCCCACACGTCCATGTAAAGAGTCTGCAGCGGAGCCTCCGTCGGCGGAAACTCGGAGGAGTGAGGAGCGGCGCGCTGCCGCCCCTCGACGCAGGGAACGCAGGTAGGGGCAGGCCCCGGAGGAAGGGGAGGGAGGGACCGGAGGAGACCAGAGACAAGGACACGGGAAGCCATGCCTTGGAGACGAGGCAGGGAGGGGTGACCAAGGCGGTGGTGCCAGAGGAGGGTCTGGTGGGACAGGAGGCGACACGAACAGGGGGTAGGTACAGGACCAGACCTGAACGCTGCAGCAAACACCTAACCCGACGCAGCTACCTGACCAGACGCAGTAACCGGAGGAGACTTGGTAGTTCGTGTATACAGGCTCGACCCCGGGTGATGGGTAAACGTGGCCAAGTGTCGGCCTGTCCGAGCACACGTGCAGTGGGTCACCCGCTGACTCGCAGGGATGAACTGGTCAACTCCCCCATCGTGCAGGTCAGCACCACTCACCAAGTTTGTAGAGAACGAGGGGAGGTAAAGACCTGACAGGGAGCCAGACGGGGCCGCTGGACACGGTAGTACAGTGGAGAAGTGGGCAAGGACAGGACCCCCAGAGGGGTCTGCAAGGGAGACCTCAACCGGCCGACTGAGCGGCGTGAGGGTGGTGCGGTCTCAAAAGAAGGAGCGAGAAGCACCCGAGTCAAGGGTGAAGGTGTGCAAAGCCTGACCAGACGTGTACCTGAGAGAGTAGACTCACCAGCACCTGGAGCAGCAGACTCACTAGTACCTGGAGCAGCGGACTGGCGAGCACCTAGAGCAGCAGCTGCAATGCCCGGGTCAGGCGGAACACACAGGTAATAGTCACCCTCATCACTAATAGACACAACATACATGGCAGCAAGAATAGCATCATAGTCAAGATGAAAGATAGCTACACCCGACTTGAGCAAATCACCCCAGCGAGGGATCTCAGAGGCGTCAGGGAACTGGAGACGCCAGGCGTCAGTCAGGCGGCCAAAGCAGCGCTGGGTGGTGTGCGGCCCGCCGCACGGCTCCCCAGTGCGGTCACCTGTACGTAGGACGTAGGCACAGGGACCAGCACCCCCAGACCGCCGACGCGCAGCGTACCACTCATGAAGCTGCTGGGGCGGCGGGGTCTCACGAGAGCGCTGCTGCTGCTGACGCTAGCCACCACCAAAGCCTCCCCGCGGCACAGAGCCACCCTGACCAGCGCCACCGCCACCGCCGCCTCCTCCACTCCCACTGCCACCGCCGCCGCCGCCTCCGCCGCCGCCACGAGAGCCCCCACCCCAGCCACCACTCCCACCGCCACCCCCACCCCCTCCGCCGCCCCCACCGCCACCACCACCGCCCCCGCCCGCTCCCCCAGCACCCTTGCCCCCCCTGCCCTTGCTGTTGCGGCGCCTCCTGCTAGGGGCACACGCAGCGCCGATCCACTCGGTGCCAACGAGGTCGACAGCAGCAGCAGAGGCAACAGAGGGCAAAAGGGGGACGTGGAAACACCCCTCAAAGAAAGGGGCATGAGGGTCACCACGAGAGGCTCCTACAGCAACTATACTCTTCTCAGTTGCAAGGAGGCGCTCCTCGAGGAGGTCAACGGTGAGTGTGGTGGGGCAAACAGAGAGGAAGTGGTCCCTGACCGAGCGAAGGGAGTCAGGGAGTCGGGTGACTAGGTAGTAGAGGGTGATGTACATAGGGCGGGGGGTTCTTGGCGCAGAATTCAGCAGGATGCGCAGCACGGTAGCGGGTGTCACTAGTGCGGAGGTGCGTAATGAGGTCAGCGACAGTGGCAAAGGCGGCGAGGTCAGGGAACAGGTACGGCAGCATGGGACGACTAAGGGCAGCAGTGGCAGGGGAGGAGTAGCGTGAAACTACAGCGTCTGACAAGGTCTTAGCAGTCTTGTACTGGCTAAAGTGCGCGCGCTCAGTGGACGGCAGGTGACTACGCACAGCAAGACGGGTAGCAGCATCCCGTGCAGTTCACTGTGAGTGAACAGCATCGGACATGAGATCAAACAGTGAGAGGTCGTGTTTGCTATCGCACTGCAGGAAAAGCTGCAGATCATCTATCCAGACCTCAAAGTCTACCGCTCGACCCTTAGCATCAAAGGTAAGAATGTTGGGACTAGCCATGTCAGCAGCAGCAGCAGGCTAGCAGCAGCAGCAGAAGCAGGTTAGCAATAGCAGCAGCAGGAGGGGTGCGGCTCGGCGGTGCGCTTACCAGGGGCGGGTGGGTATAAGCCCGCAAGTGGTGGGGCAGGGCCGAGGCGCGCCGGCAGGATTAGGGCCGCGACAGGGCGGCAGAGGAGGGCCGCGACTCGGCTGCAGGGTAGGGCTAGGACGGCGGCGGCCGCGACGAACGGCGGCGGCGGCTGTCACGGCAGTGGTAGCGGCGGTTGTCTCAGCAGCAGCGGCGGCAGTTGTCACGGCAGGAGCGGCGGCGGCTGTCACGGCAAGAGCGGCGGCGGCTGTCACGGCAGCAGCGGCGGCGGGGGCTGTCACGGTAGCAGCGGCGGCGGCGAACGGCCGTGGCGAAAGCGACAGCGGCAGCAGGCGCGATGGCAGCTGCTGCTGGGGCGGCGACGACGGGGCGGCAGAGCCGCGAAGAGCCGCGGAGGGGCCGCGTAGGGGCCGCGAAGGGGCCGCGAAGGGCCGCAAAGGGCCGCGGAGAGGCAGCGAAGGGCCAAGAGGGGGGCCGCGAAGGTTCGTGACGAGGCCGCGAAGGACCGTGAGGGGTCCACGAGGGGCCTTAAGAGGGGCCACGAGGGGCCACTAATGGGTCGCGACAGGGGCCGTGAAGGGGCCGCGAAGGGGGGCCGCTAAGGGGGGCCGCGAAGGGGCCACTAAGGGGCCGTTAAGGGGCAGGCCACTAAGGGGCTGCAAAATTTTAGGGCAGAAATTGAAGCGCGCTTCGGGCAGGCTAAAAAAAAAATCGAATGTGGGCCCTTAAGAAACGGTCCCACTAGGGAACCCGCTCTATACCATGTGAAGAATGAGGAATGGAATGACTAGGCAAAATGTGGGTACAAGTAGGAAACCTAGAAATGTTGTACCCTTTAGTATCTACCCCACTACAGCCTAGATAGACCATAGCATATAAGTTTGATAGAGAGTGTTGGTTGGGTCTTCAGATATTTGAGGCTGCAGTGGTCGGTGTAGACGGTTGTTCTTCTTCCTTCGAGATAACACCTCCATGCCTTAAATGCATTGACGATGGCGAGGGCCTCTTTGTCATGGATGGGGTCATTGAGTTCTGCCCCGTGAAGTTTTTTACTGAGGTATGCAATGGGATGCAGTCCCTTCCCTTGATCCTGCATGAGTACTGCGCCCACTGCTTGATCGCTAGCATCAGCCTCGATGACATAGTCAAGTTCAGGGTCTGGCAGGATAAGGACAGGTGCAGACGTGAGTGCGGTTTTAAGTTGTTCCACGGCTCCCTGGTGCTTCGCCTCCCACTGATATGGTGTATTCTTCTTCAACAGGTTCGTTAATGGTGCGGCAATCTTGGCGTAGTTCGGTATGAACCGGTTGTAGTAGTTGGCGAATCCAAGGAACTGTTGTAACTCCTTCACTGTGAGAGTACGACGGCTTATGCGAGCTATGCTTGCTTGCCTGTACTTTATCATGCTATTTCTAGAATAGGATAATCATATGCATGCATGAATTGCTTGATTTCCTAGGCTAGGTGCTTTCCTATATTTTATTATAGTTATAGCACCGAGCTAGGTTATGTGCACCGAATTCTAGCTTTTTCGGTTGCCACCGAATTGCCTTCTACAAAATTCGGTAAGGATCTGTTCGGGACGCTACGCGGCCCGCGGAACCTTCGCGTAACACCTGGTTACGGGGCCTTGTGTCGAGCCTATATATAGCCTCGTGTTGTACCCTGGTGATCATTCAATTCGGCTCAATTCTCATTCTCTTTTCTGAGCTCGATCCTAGATCCTCACATTCACGTTCTCAGGGGTCTTCCACGTTCGCACTGCTTCAATCTTCTTAGGATCCACGTAAACTACTTGAGCGCTCACCATATGTCCAAGGAACTGGACTTTTTTCAACGCAAACTGGCTCTTGGATAGTTTCACGTAGAAGCGTTCTCGTCAAAGAATTTCAAACACCCGTCGCAGATGCTCAACGTGCTGCTTCATGTATTTTGAGTAGATCAGGTTGTCGTCCAAATATTCCACCACGCACTCGTCCAGAAGGGGCCAAAGGATGTGGTTCATTTCCACCTGAAACGTGGCTGGTGCGTTAGTGAGTCCGAACGGCATCACGAGATACTCGTATGACCCATACCGAGTTCGAAAGGCAGTTTTGTGGATAGAGTTGTCCGCCATACGAATTTGACAGTATCCCGATCTGAGGTCGAGCTTAGAGAATACCGTAGCATCGCGAAGTTGATCGAGTAAGTCGTCGATCCGTGGTATCGGGTATTTATTTTTTACAGTCTGCTTGTTCAATGCTCGGTAGTCGATGCACATTCGCAGACTTCCGTTCGGTTTCGGAGTGAAGAGAACTGGAGCTCCGTACGGCGAAGTCGAAGGTCGAATCAACCCTTTCTCCAGGAGATACTCTATTTGTTTGTTCATATCGGCAAGCTCTGTCGGGCTCAGCCGGTATGGTGCTCGGAACGTCGGCTTGGACCCCGGCTCTTCTACGATCTCGTGTTGATGTGTTCGGTATGGTAAATTGTCGGGGAGAATGCCCTGGAACTCTTCAAGAATTTTCTTGACTGCTGGAGGAAGTTTCTGGGTCTGCTTCTCTCCGTTGTCTGCCTCGTCGAGTATCGCCATGAATCCCGCCGTGGTCCGTTTGACGTCCTTTTCAAAGCGTGCGAGTGTCTCGACTGGAATATTTCCCGTGTCGTCCCATTTGGGAAGGCTGATTTTCCTCCCGTTGTTGTTGATGTTGGCCGTCCGGTTAACCCAGTTGATCTCGGGGTTGAATAGTCTCTCCCGAAGATTACGTCGAGTCCTTTAATCTTTGTGACGGGGAGAGCAGGCTTCCATCGAAGGGGTCCAATCTGGAGTAGTAACCGTGTTTCCCTGTAGATAGGTAACTTACTGCCGTCCACCATCTTTGCCGAGAAGCTTGAGGACTTGAGCTCTTCTCCGAGTCGGTCGATTGTTTCCTTGTCGTAGACGCTGTGCGACGCCCCTCTGTCCACGAGTGCTTGGAGGCGCGGTCCGTGTCAGAAACAAGAGTGTGCAAAAGAAGAATGACGAAAGAGGGGTTTCACTAGCAGCAGTTGGGGTACATATAGCAAACCCTAACTGGGTTGTACTCACTATAGAGCACCCCACTACAGGCTAGATGATAACATTCTGACACACCCCCATAGCTAAAGTGGGGTGTAATCAGCACAATGAGCAGACATAGTAATAGTTCACAATTATAAGCAAAGCTAGAGGCGATCACAGAGGGCAAGTGAGGAGGAGGAGGAATTGTGAAGGGAGAGAAGATGGGAGACGACGGCTGAAGCTGCAGACACACGGGCAACAGGAGGACTGGCACAGTGGCTACCGAGCGCACGAGGGCACCGGACTACGGGAGTATCTGGCTCCGCGGCTACGACGAGCGGCAGGAGCAACGGACCCACACGCGACTGGCACAGCAAGGCTCTCTGGGCTACCGAGAGCGCGACGGCTCTGGACTACAAGCGCTGCGCACGACACGACGGCGGCCTCCTCTCAGCCTCCCCAAACAGTCCCACCTCCTTTCCACACACCCCCTGCTGCACCCCTAGCTCCACTACCACGTCACCCCCACAACTCCACTCCCCGCGGCTCCCACACCTCCACCCCCCTTAGCAGCAGCTGCAGCAGTGGGAGACGAACGAGGAGGGGAACACCCACACCGCGCACCCCCATGCTTGCCACCCCACACCCCCCACCACCGCGGAACGCACGGCGGCACAGGAGGAATAGGCAGCACGGGGGGGGGGGGGGGGGGGGGGGGGGGGGGGGGGGGGGGGGGACGGGACAGAAGGGGGGGGGGGGGGCGCGCGCTCCCCCTCAGGGCGCCGAAACGGACAGGCAGGGGGGCGCGCGCGGTTCCCCAAGGCGCCGCGACAGATGGGCGGGAGGCGCGCGCGGCTCCCCAGGGCGCCGCGACGGACGGGCGCAGGCCGCGCGCGACTCCTCAGGGCGCCGCGACGGACGGGCGGGGGGTGCACGCAGCTCCCCAGGGCGCCGCGACGGACGGGCAAGGGGCGCACGCTGCTCCCCAGGGCGCCGCGACGGACGGGAGCGGGGGCGCGCGCAGCCTGCAGGGCGACGCGACGAGACAGGCGGGGGCTGTGCGCGGGTCCCCACAGCTGAAAAACCGCCGCGCGCCTTGAGCGCACGGCAAGAAGAACAGCAGCGGAAGCAGTTAGGTGGCCCGCCCACCCACAAGATCGACCCAAGGGGGTCGACCTGCTCTGATACCATGTTAGAAAGAACAAGAGTGCAAAAGAAGAATGGCGAAAGAGGGGTTTCACTAGCAGCAGTTGGGGTACATATAGCAAACCCTAACTGGGATGTACTCGCTATAGAGCACCCTGTTGAAATGAACAGACAGGAATGATTGAAGTAACAGTGAAATCAGCACAAGTACCTAACCCTAGAATTGTGTACCCCCTATAGGCTAACCCACTGTAGCCTAAACAAGCTCAACATATATAATGTTTGACACACCCCCATAGGCAAAGTGG